GAAAAAATAATAGGCAAAATCATCCAAACAGAATAATTTTCATTTTCTTTTTAAAAATACTTATATTTTTTAGAATCATGATATAAGGGTATGTTTAGTAAGGGTGAAGTTGAGAGAAAAATAATAAAAAAACTGATAAACATCCTGGTAACTGTTCATCTGGATGATCTGCACATGTGCATACTGATAACTTTAAGCAATCTGTCTGGTATCCATATGTGTGTAATATGCACACCTTGCATAAAAGCTAAGGTTCAACTCCAACTACCGGTATACACATGCACATAGTTTAGATGAATGATTATCATGGTGTTCCCCAGTTTTTCGATTTTTGAGGTTTTCCCCCCGAACCTCCCTTTGTTCATTAATGTATTAAACAGTTGTTAATGAAATTGAATATAATAAAAACTGTTTAGTTTTATATAATATAATGTGTTTATTTCCCTATAAGCCCAAACTTTTAATTACATGTTAAATTAGGAAAATAAAAGTTCGGTCACTGTTAACTTTATGTCTATGTCTAATCATACAACCTTTTTAAGATATAGCGTCTTAAACAAGATATAGACTTATGAGCCGTTTATCAAAAACATACTCGATAAGTATTTATCAGTAAAATTCAACACTATTACTTACTTACCGGGTAAGATTTTAGTCAACCAAAACGATACCATATGCAATAATTTACCCGATAAGCTCTTACCGCAGTAAGAGTTGTCGCCTTCACTTACCGGGAAGACTCTTGTTCCTTGTCTCGCTTTTACCGGGTAAGATTCTTAGTCCTTGTCATATTCATCTGTAAGGTAATATAATTTGATAAGCGCTTATACAGGTAAGTATTTGGTAAACGACCCCAAAAATGTACATGAATGTTATACATTTTTTTTGAGCAAACAGATTTTATAAAGAAAATGTAATATTCAATTTCATAACATTTTTAATTAATTACTAAATATTTGTTATGAATAATCAGAAAAGCCTTGTAAAGTATAATAAATGCCATCAATATATTATAACAAGTTCTTCATTAATAAATCTCTGAAAATGCTAGGTTTCAGAATAATTTATGATAATCAACCTACTTACTTATTTTCTTATAGCCAAGTTAATTTTCAGACCATTTTCTAGATACAAAAACAATTTTGTATGGTTTCAGTAATATATATATATATATATATATATATATATATCATTTAAAAAACCATATATTGCTTATTTTATGTAGTATTTATGATGAATAACCTTAAATAATAATAATACTTATTCTTTATAAATATCTGATACTGATACGATATCCATAATCAATATTTATCATGTTATTCATTATGAATACCACATAAAATAGTTAACTTCATGGCTTAAAATATTTAAGTTTTCTAAATAAGCCCCTCCCCCTCCCCCTCTCTTTATATATGCATACACACATACATATATAAAACGGTTAAATCAAATGAGAATCGCAAAAAAAATGTTACAAACATCGTGAGAACCGATTTTAAAATGATTTTTTACATGATTTTTTCTCATCAAATGTTATGATTTAAGTTATCGTTCCACATATATTTTATTATAATGTGATAGTTTCACTGTATGAAAACTTTTTATGTGTATTTTTCGTTTCATTAAGTGAATAAAAAAAATTTACATGCAATTTTTTTTTCATAAGATGAACACAAATATATGTAAAACAATATGTTAAACCATAGCTTATGATAAAAAAGACAATGTAAAAATATTTTTTTTTTCTAAATGTTTTGAAAAACTTGGAAAGCAGCTATTTGTATTTTATTTAGGATAAATATTCATGAAGAAAATGTATAGTATTTACGATTAAAAAATTATTTATCATTATTTATCATAAATAATATATGAAATAGCTGGTTTCCACATTCTAAAAGTATTTTTGATTCTCATTAGAACTTTCCTCTATGCATGTATATATAATTAGGGTCGGGTTCTAGTAAGAAAATAAGTTGTGATGAGAAGCGTAAGAAGAGATTTCTACCATTGAATTAATCATAATTAATTGTCAACATTAACGAGATGCACCGAGCCAATTCTCTTCTAAAGTGAATTCATGTGGGCATGAGATTACGCTTCTCACCATAACTTCCCTTCTCATACGATCCTTCACATATATAATTATAACTCAAATATACTTTCTTTTGTAAGTGCAACATTTATATTTACCCAACCAACTCCATAAGGCCAGTTCGTCTTTCATATACACTTTAGCTTTGCAAAAATTTACCAAATGAAAAGTTAGAGCGATATACATCAAAAGACGATACACCAAGATGTTGAAATCCTGAAGGCACTGTTTATTATTTTATCTAAAGAAAATATTTGAGTGATTTTGACAACTGAACTACATACGAATAAATGAACATGGTGCACGTTCGCCTTTTGTCGGCAACCATACATACAACTGTACACATGTAATCGAGTGTTTTATCTGATATTATTCAATTATAGCCTAAAATATATCAAATTAAATATCCATATTATGTGTATATATAAAAAGTCTAGAAGAAGTCTGCCTAAAAGCTAGAATGAGGTTTGTTTGCTTTTATTGTTTACCACCAAGCAATTAAATTGTAGGAGTTACAGCAAATGTTGTTGGCATTCAATTGGAAAATTCCAAACCCCCTTTTCAATATTTTGGTGAAGGGTCATCATCCTCTTTTCAATTTATTTTTTTTTTTATGAAAAAAATGAGTTTTCAATATGAAAAAGAGTTCCTAAAAACATGAAAAATTGGAGCAAAATAAATTACACTAAAAAAGACGATCACTTTATTATCATTAATTTGTATAAAAATATTCATCCGTTTTTTGTGGTTTTATGGGTTTTTCTTTTTCAAGGTTCTCTGTTGATCTTTTTCCTATTCATATAACCATGTACTAATTATTCAGAATTATGTAAATTTTGTATGATCAACTTTTTCTTTAACATGTTCAAGTTAATCAGTGTTGAACCATTTCTCTAATATACGTCAGAACATTTCTTACTTTCATGCAAAATGTTTAATTTCTCGCATGATCCTTCCCCTCTCTCTATCTACACACACATATGTGTGTGTGTGTGTATATATATATATATATGGTCAGGTTCAAAGGAAAACCGTAAAAATGAAAATCAAGGAACAACATGGTAACTGTTCGTCTGGACGGTATGCACATATGCATACAAGTAATTTATAAGCAATTTGTCCGGTGATACACATGTGCATAAAAATAAAAAAAAACTTCAATTACTTGTATGCACATGTGCATACCATCCAGATGAATGATTATCAAAATGTTCTTCAATTTTTCAGTTTTTTAGGAGGTTTCCCTCGAACCTCCATCTCTCCCCTCTCTCTCTCTCTATATATATATATACACACACATATATATATATGTGTGTGTGTGTGTGTTTGAATCTCATTTCTTTCGTAAATGGTCTTTTTCAATAGTAACATTAGAGTTTCTGACATATTATCACATAACATAAAAAGAATATTTCTAGAAATAGGAATAAAAACATTTTGTGTTCTAAAATCAAATAGTTAATATAAAAAAGATTGAAATAAAAATATTGAAACTAGACATGAAATTTAAAAATAATGAGTATTTTTGTGTAATTTGTTCTTTTAGGGTGCGTTTGGTGCATGGGACAAGGTGGAACAGGACAGAACAGGACACACTTGTCCCATGTTTGGTGTGATTATATATGGGACTAACTAGAACTAAGTGGTACAAGGGTGGGACAAGGCTGTCCACCCTTTACCCCTGGCACTAACTAGAACAAGGAAAACTTTACCTCTTTACCCTCAATCGACTCCATCGCTTCCACCCTCAATCGACTCCATTGCTTCCACCCTGGTCGACTCCATCGATTCCACCGTCTCTCCTCTCCTCCATCGATTCCACCGTCTCTCCTCTCCTCCATCGATTCCACCGTCTCTCCTCTCCTCCATCGATTCCACTGTCTCTCTTCTCCTCCATCGCTTCCACCCTGGTCGACTCCATCGCTTCCACCGTCTCTCCTCTCCTCCATCGCTTCTACAGGTGACGGCGACTGCTGTTCAACTCCATCGCGGCGGTTGGGTTGGGATACGATGTGGCGGAGGATTTGATCGGAATAGATGATGAACAGGTTAGGGATATCGATTTAGGGTTTTTTTTTGCTTGATCAAAATCGCTTTAGGGTTTTTTTTGCTTGATCAAAATCGATTTAGGGTTTTTTTACTTGATCAAAATCGATTTAGGGATATCCTGATTTAGCAGGTATATGAACTTCAATTTTCTTCGTGATTATATATGAGTATAATCTTAATCTATTTGCTGATTTGGGATCGTTCGTAGAATCTTAATCAATTTTCTTTGTTTGAATATTGTTTTGTGCGTTCATGGCGATTCAGGGTGGTTAGAATCGATTTAGGGCTTTTTTGCTTGATCATGGTGGTTAGAATTCTAGGATTGACTCACTAGGGTAAATTGGTCATTTTAACCAGTTCTGTCCAGTCCTATCATGTCTTACCAAACGCTGAACAGCTGTCCTGTCCTGTCCCACCCTGTCCTGTCCCGTCCTGTCCCACCCTGTCCTGTCCCGTCCTGTCCTGTCCTGTCTGCGTACCAAACGCACCCTTAAAGGCATAAATCTGTAGAAGGGATATAAGAAAAATTGGTAAAGCAAAAGGTGAAGGAAAAGAGTGTAGGTTTTGTAAGAGAGTGTGGGTTTTGTACGGTCTCATCTTTGTCCCCCTACCCCAACTAAAATACTGTAATCTTTCTCCCTAAAAAAGCTAGAAAGACACAAACCCATTTGGCCTTTTTTGCCTTTGGTTTCTGTGCTGCCTATGCATTTGTCCATGTCTTGCTCCCTTCTTCAACCCCCTTTCCCAGCTCTCAAAACTAGATAGATAATGGGGTGCCAATCATACTCTCTAATTCTTCATCAATTTCTCTCCTTTTCTTTCATCATCTTGTGGTGTACCATCAAGAAACATTTGGGTTCTTGCTTTTCCTAATCCTTTCCCATGATTTGACTTCATTTTCTCCATATTTCTTTACCCTCTTCAAGAAATCTTTATTTTGCCCTTATCCCAAAACCCCCCACCTTTTTTCTTTTGTTTTCATCCTAGTTTCAAGAATCACTTGTTTCTTTGTGAAAACTGTCGAGAACTGGAGTCGGGTTTTGCAATGGAAATTGATCTGAACCATGCAGCGAGTGGGATTGAGGAAGTTTATAGTGTTGATTCGTGTGGAAATGGTGGGGATTCGTCTTTATCAGCTTCCTCAAACTCCTCAAATTCATCCTTAAAGTCATCAAATCCCAATTTTTCATCCTCAATTTACATGGAACTTTGGCATGCTTGTGCTGGCCCTCTAACTACTCTTCCAAACAAAGGAAATGTGGTTGTTTATTTCCCACAAGGTCATCTAGAACAAATTGCATCTCACTCCTCTATTCAGTTTTCACCCATTGAAGTACCCTCTTTGGGACTTCACCCTCAAATTTTTTGCAAAGTTGTGGATGTTCAGTTACTTGTAAGTTTTTCAGATTTTCCCTTTTCTTTATTCTTATTTTCCCTTAAATTTCATTTTTGATGTTTTACCCAATTCTTGAAACAGGCCAATAAGGAGAATGATGAAATTTATACAAAGATTTCACTTCTCCCACTACCAGAGGTATGATTGGTTCTTAATTCAGTTGTAATTCTTCTCAGTTTATGTAAAATGGAGCAAATTTTGTTGGAAATTATAGGAAAACAGAGCTTAACCCTTAATTTCCCTTTTTCTTCTTGCTTCTTTTCTACTTTTTTTGGCTTAATCAAGGTGTGTTTATTATTTCAATGCAACTTTTTTGGGTAAAAATGGTTGCTTTTTGTTATTTCTTAAGTGAATTCTTGCAAAATTGGAAGAAAAATTGATCTTGGTAATGGTGGATTGGTAAAAATTTGCAGGAAAATTTGCAAGAAGGGGAGGAAGAAGGTGGTGGTGGGACACTCACAAAATCAACCCCTCAAATGTTCTGCAAAACGCTAACTGCATCTGATACATCTACCCACGGTGGATTCTCTGTGCCTAGAAGGGCTGCTGAAGATTGTTTCCCACCTCTGGTTTAAATTTCTGCTATTTCTTTTAGGGTTTTTGATATTTAGTTCTATCTATGTGTAATTAAAGTTTATCCAACTACATTGCATACATCTACTTCCATTTTAGGATTATAAACAGCAGAGGCCAAGCCAAGAGCTAGTGGCCAAGGACCTCCATGGTGTGGAATGGAAGTTTAGGCACATTTATAGAGGTGCTTTTGATCATTTAATTCAAAATTTGTCATCTTTTTGATCGATTAATCTTAATTCGCGAACTGGGTGTGTGTTTTTCAGGCCAACCGAGGCGGCATTTGCTTACTACAGGGTGGAGCATCTTCGTAAGCCAGAAGAATCTTGTTTCTGGGGATGCAGTTCTTTTTCTAAGGTATCATTATAGCATTCAATCTGAAATATATGCATCTTTTTTAGATATATCAATAGGTTTAAACAAGAAATAAAGGAACATATGAGTGCTAATTTGTTGAGACACCAAGAAAAAACAAGATTCCAACTTGGAAAGCCCAAAACTTTTTGTCGGTGATTGTTTCGTTGAAGTTGAGATAAACAAAAAAGGGTTTTTAAAAAAATTATATATGGCAAGCATCAGAAAAAAATTATTAAGCTGGTAATGTGTATGGATACAAGAAATTGGGGATTATTCTCTTGGTCTGAAGGAGGAAACAGTGGATGCAAGAAAAAGTATTATAAACACTTTAGGCATATTCTAAGGGAATGGTGTCCGTGGCACACAAGAAAGAGAGTAGAAACCGAAGAAAGAATCATCTCTTTTTCTTTTGCTTTTATATTTGATCTCTTTTATTATCTTACGGAAACTGGGGGTGGAAAATAGTGTTAAAGATCTTCATTCTCACACATAAAGTAGTAGTTATTTCAAGAAACTATAAAAGGAAGAAGCAATATATGAGATAGTTTGTAGGTATTCTTATTATAGAAAAAGAAACCGTTATTCAGATCGGGGTCGTTATCCATTTCAAAGAGATGGTATTCGTTTATGTGTTCACTTTAGGGAGGAAAAGAATACAGTGGGTGACTATGATTAGTCTCACAAAGCAAAGGGAATCGTTAACGTTCTTTTATATATATATATATTGATGTTACATCTACCCTTTTTTATCCTTCCATTTTAAGAAAGACTAGATGGTTTTATGGTTGGTAATTTGGAAGGACAATGACCTAACGAAAGAGAGGTTTTGATTCGATTTAGAGAGAATAATATAACGATGAACGCCTTTTTTTCTTCTTTCTTATAGACGGATAGAATGGAAACATCTTTCTTGCATCAAATAAAAAGTAAAGTCAATAAAGGTAATTTGGTGTTAGATTTTCCAGTATTTATTGAACTAACAGGGAGGAGTGTTTAATGTTCTATGGGATTCTTAGGTTTATAATATAATAATAATCACCTGTAAACGAAACATATGTATGCAATTCAGCAATTTACATGCATCCATGGGCATTGCTAGATTTTTTTAAAAGTATTTCTTGTGTTTAGTTGTATGTAGTATGAAAATGAAGGTTGGCGCCATTTATAAAGACAAATGTAGAACGAAAATGGACAAGATACGACAGTTGAAGTGGTACTTGTTCCACGTTGCCGGATTGTCTATAAACTATCTCTAGAAGTAAACCTGTGCGATGCAGTAGAATGTAAAATTTGATTGTAAACCGAAAATTGATTTTTTTTTATTTCTTATGATGTTTGTTTTTTTGAAATGGATCAACTTTAAGATAATGTTTGCAAAAATCTCAAGTATTATGTTGTTTATATGGTTGATTAACCTTAGAGAAGGGTAAAATAGGTGTATCTTAGAAAGTGAAAGATTTTGTATGCTTTAATAAATTACACTTAACGTTTTATTGGTTGTACCCTTCAAAAAGTAAGAGTATAAGAATGAAGACCTTGCTTTATAATATAGTATAGATATCTGATTTGTGCATCCTCCTCCTCTGAGCTAGTTTTTGGGAGTAAGTTATACCGAAACCCATTTATCATGGTACCAGTGCAGGATTTTGTAGGCGATGTGGGAATTGCATTTATTTGTTTGGGCCATTGAAGTAGTATTTGTCACAAATCGTCACACACGCACACAAATATAGAGAGTTTCATGGAACCCCCCCCCCCCCCCCCCCCCCCCCCCCAAATTTTTTTTTTTGAAAAACTGAGGAACGCCATAATAACCATTCATCTATAAGGTATGTACATGTGCATGCAAGTAATTGAAGATGTTTTATGGTTGTAATGCACGTGTGCATATGAGTAATGAAGATGTATTCTAGTTTTAATGCACGTGTGCCTATTATGCACATGTGCATACCGGACAAATTACTTGTATGTACATGTGCATACCATACAGTTGAATGGTTTTTAGGTTGTTCCTCGCTTTTTCATTTTTTTTTACAGTTTTCTCTTGAATGTGGCCCTATCCCTGTGTATGTATATATGACTAGTAATATGAACAAAATGCCAAACGGAAAACTTTAAAATAGTTTATAGCTTTCACAAATCCATTTTTTATGATGGCTTTAGGGGAGAAGGAGGCGAACTAAGGCTGGGAACTCGAAGAGCCACTCGACCAAGAAATGTTCTTCCTGATACAATCATGCCCAACTCCGATTCCTTCACAGATATTCTTGCTCCTGTAGCTAATGCAGTATCTGCCAACACCATCTTTCATGTTTTCTACAGTCCCAGGTAATAAATGTAACATCATTAAACCCGTAAACCATTTATCTCCCCGATCCCTTTCGCTGATCTGTTACTCTAAACTTATAAACGCATTGCAGGTCTAATCGAGCAGATTTTATTGTTCCTTATGTGAAGTATATAAACTGCATCAGCAATATGATAACGATTGGAACAAGGTTCAAAATGAGATTCAGTATGGATGAATCTCCTGAAAGAAGGTATCTTTGATACTGTTTGAGTCCCATATCAGCTAGACTTTGACCACTTATCCTCAATATAAGTTGAAACGCCCAATCTGTGCTCAAGGGCTCTTTTCGAGAGTAATCTAATGGGGTTCCATATATCTCACATGCTACCAGAGCCAAAGACCTACTGCAATTTGTACTCGTCTAGCCCATCTCTGACGTTTTGTGTCTCTTGAGCCTCCGTTGGAGTCCCACATTGGCTAGACTTGGACCATTTATCCTTGATATATGTTTGAACTCCCTTTCTCTCCTCAAGGGCTATTTTGGAGGGTAATCTGATGGGGTTCCATACACACACACACACACACACATATATAGATAGAGAGAGAGTCGGTTTCGTATGAGAATGGTATCTAAGAAATGGCTGAATCACATGTGATTTTACACTAAAATCACGTATAAAATCACATGTGATTCACACGACTTTGCCCCGTGGCCTAACGGCATGGTCAAAGTCGTCTGCACACCTTATTTTGACCGTTAATGAATCACATGTGATTTTGTACGTAATTTGGCCATTTTCTTATATAATATAGGGTCGGGTTCAGGGGAAAACGGCAAAAAAAACCGGATGAAACATTACTAGGGTGTTCCTCAGTTTTCATTTTTTTTTGGGGGGTTTTCCCCTGAACCTCCCTCTCTCTCTATATATGACCGGTATAAGTGACATGGATCATTTTCTTGCAGGTTCAGAGGTTCTGTGACCGGTGTAAGTGACATGGATCCTTACAAATGGCCTAAATCAAAATGGAGATGCCTAACGGTACGTCATATTTCAACTTCACACAAATAAACAGTTTATACCTTCGGTTTTTTAGATTTTGGCCCGTTTCAACAGGTGAGGTGGGATGAAGATGTTGGTAACAACAATCAAGAACGGATATCTCCATGGGAGATTGATCTTTCTGGTGCGCCTGTGCCACTTTTGAGCATTCACCCGTCTCTAAGATTCAAAAAAATGCGGGCAAATCTGCACCCATCTGAACACCCCATGGCGGGTATATACTATTTAACTTTCTTGAATACAAGTTTCTGAAAAGCAAGAATCTTGGAGGTTTTCTTGCTGAGTTTAGTGGTAATTTTGTTGTTTATGCAGGATGGGGTGGATGTTTAGACTTCGAGGAGTCCACAAGATCCTCTAAGGTCTTGCAAGGTCAAGAAAATGCAGGTGGGAAGATGAACAACCCCTTAAACTTTGGGGTACAACCCTCGATACATTCGGGTTTTTCCCCAAATCAGATGTTATTGACGGGAAGAAGTACAAATATCGTTGGCGAACTTGTGAGGGCTCATCATCAACCACCTTCCACTACCCCCTATTCAGGCTTTATGGGATCTAACAACAGTAGATACCCAAAGGTCTTGCAAGGTCAAGAAATTTGCTCATTGAGATCTTTGACTGGGAAAACCAACGGTTCTTGGGGTGCACCAAGAACCGATCTTGGTATGCACCAAAGGCTGAGTAATCCCGGTTTCTATCCACTTGGTTCTGAAGGTGGTAGGAACTTCTGTTTTCCAAATCCGGGTTCTGTCATGCGCACAAGTCTCCCTGGATTCCCAATCAATCGGGCGGCTTTTGGAAATGGAGTTGCAGCCGATGATATTAATGGGATACAGCTGCAGCCTCCAGTTGAGCTTGGGAAAACAACGGTCGATCCGATCATGGAAGCTAATTCAGGCAGTGAGAAAGATGATGGTGGTTCTGATAGCATGGGGAGTAGTTGTAAACTATTTGGTTTTCACTTGAATGGAGGTGCTCCTCCAATACCAGATGCACAAAGTTTAAGCAAGAGAAGCTGCACTAAGGTAATATATATATATATATATATATATATATAGAGAGAGAGAGAGAGAGAGAGAGAGGTGCAGGGGAAAACCCCAAAAAATATATATAGAGAGGGAGGTTTAGGACAAAACCCAAAAACATGAAAATTTGAGGGACGCCCAGATAACCATTCATTTGTACAATATGCACATGTGCATACAAGTAATTGAAGTTGTTTCTTGGTCTCTATGCATGTGTGCATGTGTATACCGGACAATTACTTGTATGCATATGTGCATATAGATAGATGGTATTCATTCTTTATTCATTATGAATGTCATGATATTCATGATGTAAATTATTTATTATGAAAATACATGATATTCATGATAAAACTGCAAGATTCATGAATAATAAAAATGCATAATATTCATGATGATAGTATTTGTGATTATTAAAGGTTATTCATAATGAATAACACATCAAATAGTTGGTGTCCAACAAACTGCTTATGCACAGAGTAGAGCTTCAAGTTTGAATCATTTTTTAATGTTTATTCACATGTGAAGGTTCACAAACAAGGAAACAAGGTCGGAAGGGCCATCGATCTCTCGAAAATGTCGAGTTATGACGAATTATTTAGCGAGCTAGAGACACTCTTTCAAATGGAAGGCGTGTTGAGCAACCGTGTTGGCACATGGCGACTACTGTATACCGATGAAGAGAACGACATGATGGTTGTCGGTGATGATCCATGGGAGTAAGTAACTTAACTACGTACAAATCAAGAACGATATCATATATATATATATATATATATATATATAATGTCGGGCATTAATCCTTTTTCCAAACTTGAAATTGACGCATTAAATGGGAATTGATTTATGAACAGTGAGTTTGCAAGAATGGCTACAAAGATTCACATACACACAAAGGAAGAAGTGGAGAAACTGATGAGTGGTGGCGTAATCAGCGACGACACCAGTTGTTTGGAGGAAGCTCCGGCGATAGCCATGGTGGATACGGCTAAGAGTGGGTCTGCCGGAGTAATTCTCCGGTCACCATCACAGTGATGATATGGTGATGGTGATGGTGATGGTGATGGTTTTCTTTAGAGTGCATGTTTAATTATGCTACTGTTTTGTGCTTACTAATTAAGCCAACAAATATGGAAGTTTGATTAGCTTTTGAGGTACCTTGTATTAAGCCAACAAAATGCTTTAACCTTTTGAAGTATTAAGCCAGCAAATTGGTTGTTATTAAGCTATCCTTTATAATTTCAGAAATCTAAAGAATGCTTAATTGCTGAGTAGAGCTTTGTAGGGTTGTACATTACTTACACATACACATACACATACACATACACACACTTAAGGTGTATTTGTGTAATTTAATGTTTATCTAAAGAGTAAATTCTGGTTTATTAAAACTTCATTGATTGTCATTATGGTTTTGATCTTGCACCTACTTATTGTGTTAAGTTGCCTACATCATTCATTCCTACTCCTAACACTCGTTAAGAGCATCAGTTAAGTGTCTCACGTGCTAATCACATGAGGGGTATTTTAGTCATTTTACTTTTGTTTCAAATTTGTTTTTGTTGTACAAGTCTTTAAAGTTTATATACAAGTGTTTATACCATTTAAATTAAACATTGCATCAGTCGGTGGATATCTTTGCATTACATTAAACTTCAGGGACTAAATGTGAATATAAGAAACAACAGGGGCTAATTTTAAAACAAATGGAGTAGAAAAGGGACTATATAAGCAGCCATAGAAGCATAAAAAGAGGAACTGCTCTGAAGCCTCTGAGGAAGCAATGAGCAACTACGGCAACGGCAAAGGGAAGCCGATGAACGGAGAAGACGATGATGACGAAGATGATGGAAACGAGAGGGACCTCGAAGCATGGGAGAGAGCATATGCAGACGAGAGATCATGGGAATCATTACAAGAAGATGAATCTGGACTCCTCCGGCCAATCGATAACCAAGCTTTACATCATGCTCAGTATCGCCGCCGTCTCCGGTCACTTTCCTCCGCATCCGCCGCCTCACGTATCCAAAAAGGCCTCATTCGATATCTCTATCTTGTTATCGATCTCTCTCGGGTATTAATCTTATCAACCCTCAATTCATTCGGAAAAAGGAGCTGCAATTTGTGTTTGGATGTCAAAAGGTTGCTTTTCGACTCCAAAATTGGCATTGATTTGAACTTCTCAAGCAATTTTCTACCAATTACTACTAATGAATTCATGTTACTGTTGAAATTGCAACTAAATCCATATTTGTTTCGAATTCACAGCAGTCGGTTTAATATCAGATAATGCAATTACGGATTTGAGGTTCTATGAATAGTACAATCATTATATGAGCATTTACCTGTTAGGGTTTTGAAGATTTAAGTCTAGCCTTTTGTTGCAATGCTTTTTCACCTGTTAGGGTTTTGATTAGAATTGAGTTTTGAAACACATTAGGCAAGGTATCTTTCTTTAGATGCATGTCGTGAATGCCTAACAGCCTAACTTCTTCACATTTTTTAAAAAGCTTGAAGCATGATCAATGGCTGCCATGGTTGTCTATTGATTTCAACTAGCAATCTTCTTCACCTTCAAACCTTATTTTCACCAACTTTGCAGTTGCAGCTGTTCCTAATTGACAATTAGGGCTTGTTAGATTGCATTCAGGTTTCTTGTGATCTTCATATTATGACACTGAAGTAGTTATTTAAGGATTCATTGTTATTGTTTTGTTGGTTGATCAACTTCAAGAATTCTTATAATCCTCCATTTGTTGTTGATTCATATAATACAAAAGCATGAGCTTAATGAAAAATAACCAAAAAGCAAGGATTAAAATGGTCATTTCGTCATTCATACAGTTTATTTGGTGCAAGAAACAAACGCAATTTAGTATAATGCATACATGGCTTAATATGTAGTTAGTAGTTTTTGCCATTATTTTTGTGATTTACTCAAACGGTAACATGTAGGCAGCTGGAGAGATGGATTTACGGCCGAGTCGAATGGTGGTGGTTGCTAAACAAGTAGAGGCTTTCATAAGGGAGTTCTTTGATCAGAACCCATTAAGTCAAATTGGTCTGGTAACCATAAAAGATGGAGTTGCTATGTGTTTAACCGACCTAGGTGGCAGTCCCGAGTCTCATGTCAAGGCACTAATGGGGAAACTAGGGTGCTCAGGCGAAGCTTCCCTTCAAAATGCTTTAGAACTTGTACACGACCAACTTGATCAAATCCCTTCATACGGTCATCGGGAAGTTCTCATCTTGTATTCCGCTTTGAGTACTTGTGATCCAGGAGATGTAATGGAAACCATTCAAAAATGCAAGAAATCCAAGATTAGGTGTTCAGTAATTGGTCTATCTGCAGAACTCTATATATGCAAATATTTGTGCCAAGAAACAGGAGGCTTATACTCTGTTGCTTTGGATGAGGTGAGGTCAAAAAGGGGGAAATTGATTTCCAGGGTTTATATACAAAGTTTTTAGTCTAAAATTTATTATATATAGGGGCATGTTCAAATGAGAAATGCAAATATTTAGAGAATCTTGAACCAACTATTCATGAATTGTTTATGATGAATAATATTCATGAATATTTTAGGGTTTTTCATGATGAATAACTTACTGAAATAGTTGGTTCCCAAATTCTCAAAAATATTTACGGTTCTCATTTGAACTTTCTCATGTATGTATAAGTATGTGTAAGAAGTTATATATTTTGCAGGCACACTTAAAAGAGTTAATACTAGAGCATGCACCACCACCTCCCGCCATAGCTGAATTTGCTATAGCTAATTTAATAAAGATGGGATTCCCACAAAGAGCCGCGGAGGGTGTTATATCTATATGTTCATGTCATAAAGAATCGAAATTTGGTGGAGGCTACACTTGTCCAAGATGCAAAGCGCGTGTTTGTGAGTTGCCTACGGAGTGCCGGATTTGTGGATTGACACTTGTTTCTTCTCCTCATCTGGCAAGATCTTATCACCATCTATTCCCCGTAACCACATTCGATGATGTCGCTCCTTCAATTGTAACCAATCAACATCGTCGGCCAAAGAATTGTTTCGGTTGCCAGCAAAGTCTCTTGAATCCTGGTGAGCACTTGGTTATGTTGTTTGAAACCACTGAAACTGCATTTTTGGTATAATGAAGATGCTTTGTTTCAAGATCTTAAATGAGTTGCTTACGATTGTAGGAAATATGCCGGGGCGGTGTGTAAGTTGCCCGAAGTGCAGACAGTTTTTTTGCCTGGATTGTGACATATACATTCATGAAAGTTTGCATAACTGCCCAGGTTGTGAGAGCTTAAGAGAGGTTGCTGAATGAAATGGAACATCAGCTGAATTTGGTTTGTTGGATTAGTGGACACATACAGGTAAAAGGCAAGATAGAATTTCTTCTTCTTGTTTGTTGTTTTTATATGTGGCCGTCTGTCTTCTCCATATTGTGTAACTTCTATGCAATGGTTTCAGATAGGCTTTGATCCATGAGAATTAAGGATCTTTTAATTTATTCTTTGTTTATCTATAACATTTGGCTGAAAGATGTGGCCAAGTTTCCGCATGCATGTGAATGTGGAGAATAAGATGGTACATGAGAGAATATGAGGTTGTTAGTCAAGCTATAACACGGGTTAACAGGAGTGAAATTCACGCTTGTGTAAGCCAACTAGAATCCGGGATATTCGGATAATGTCATATGGCAGGGGTCAAAGGGCTGCGCCCTTGGCGATGGTTCGGGGCAACATCCCAAAACCTCTTCAGAAACATCTCGAGTCTTGTTCTGAGGAGCTTTTGACATGTACGTTGTGTTCTCGACTTTGAGAGGCAAAGGAGAAGGAAAAAAAAAATTCATGTTCTTGAACATAAGAGAAAGGAAAGGAAAGGTGTTTTTATAAATATACCCTTATCTATTTTTCAACAGTTTTGTAGTTTATGGGTATATATGTAATTTTATAAATATTTATAATAATTAATATTTGTTTCCTTTCCTTGCATGACAAATATTATTTTCCTTCATTTTCCTTTTCTTCCCACTTAAAAAACTCAGAACACTGAACCACAAGGATGATGTTTGATTGGTTTGAGGTCTCAGGTTCAAATCCAAGAAGGAATAAAAATCCCTTTGTGGCCACGGAGGTTTAAATGCGGTGATTTCGGGCTATTTGCAAAGCATGTGGCCGTCCTGGGATTAGTCGGCTCGCATAGCGGGTTGAATATCCAGATTAATCAAAAAAAAGAAAAACTCAGAACACTGATGTTTTTTATGCAGTTATCCGTCCGCTAATTAATCCTACTACATCCATTTAACGGGGAGATGATTCTTGCATTTAATACAAGATTCGGTTACAATAAGATAGAACACTTTTGTTGTTACAGAAAATTTGAGATTATCTTCGAGTTGATTTCATGATAACCAGACGATTAAGGGTTGAAATACAACTAAAGGAAAACGAGATCTTATGTGATCTCATAGTTATATTGTTTCTCTGCACCTTTTCAATTTCCTCCAACATAATTTTCAGTTAACTTCAAAACATAAAACCAAGCAGAGAGACCTGTATGATCAGCTGATTGACATCAACTGAGAGAATTACAACCAAATCCAGGGGCTATATTTCTCTATTAAATAACAGCAACGTCTCAGGGTAAATGACATTTACAGACGCTATTTGCTACCAGATCATTTATGATCAGAGCCACAAATAATCTATGTTTTAACAAAAAGCACCATAAGATTACCTAGCAATGGGTGGCTATAAGAATGATGAAACTTATAATTAAAAACTCTGGTGATGCTGCCTAATAATGTTCTTCTAGGGGTCAAAAATGTTGGTCAGCTTTCAACATGGAAGAAGAAAGCAAAAAGAATCAACAACCCACACTTCCTTAACCTCTATCTTTCTTCTTCAGAGTCTGTGTCAATAGATAGATACAATCTTGGTCTTACTGACCGCTTTTGCCGGGGAAACAATACATGGTTTTTAGATCTTTCTCTGCTACTCTTTCCAGATCTACTGCCATTCATTCCAAGAAGCAAAGAAGCTACACATATACAAAGGGAAGGAATTAGCACCACTCCAAATGCACAAATTACACTCTGTTCTTGAATTTGGAAAGAAAAGAAATGTTCTTTTATGTGTTCTTGAAAGGGAAGGAACAGAAAGGAAGGATGTCTCTTTTACAAATATACCCTTTATATTTGTTTCTCTCACTTCTCCTTAAGAGGGTATTTTTGTCATAAAAGGTCAACCCTTTCTTCCCACATTTGGGAGGAAAGTATAGATAATATTTTCCCTCCTTGTTCCTTTTCTTTCCTTCCTAAAAAGTTTAGAGAAGACATGATCTTTTTTGTTTTGCCCTCTCCTTTCTTTTCTTTTACTTCAAAGAAAAGGTTCCGATCAAAAGGAACCAACTCAGCTTCAAGCATTAGATTTCACTAATCATGATAACTTAGATAAGCCAAATGGTAGATGGGGTTTAAACCCCAATATTCTATCGGATTCAACATGCTTAACATTCAACTACACCAGAAGGAAATGCTAGCTAGAAGAGAAAATACCAGTATCTGCGAATGAATCCAGGGCACCATCTTTGGATGGTGGTGGCTGACTCGAGTTTAACCCATTCGTGGCAGCAGGTTCACAAGTAACCCCACTGCCGCCGCCACCACCACCTAGACTGAGGGATATCCAATCATCACCATGCAGACCCTTCGATACAGTCGGCTGATCTCTCGACTCCACCTGCTCTGCTGCCTCTGTTGGCCTTGTGGGAAGAAAGAGCTGAAGCGATGGATCATCGTGTCCAAATGCCAAGGGATTATCAACCAACCCATCATTCATATCAACGTTAGATTGATAAACTGAAGAATTGGGAACCAGTGCTGCAGAACCCATGGCAGTCTCGGCTGTCAATGTGAAGCCATCCATTGATGTGGGACAACCAAGACCATGATGCACATCAATTAAGGCGTCCACAGGATTCTCATCTGATCCAAATAACTGAAAGCTAGGTCCCCCTTGACTACTAGTAGAAGGCAAATTCCAAAAGGGCCCAAAATCGTCATCATTGCTATTGAAGAGACCAAGGCAAGAATTCCCCCCAGCAATGAGGGCAGGATCATCATTATGTGGCTCTGTAATTCCATTAGGAAGAACAGAAAATGCAACTCTGTCAGCATCTTCTCTACCATTCTTATAGACTGGTACAGATGACATTAGGTTTTCAGTCTCTTCGTCTGAATCACTGAGAACAATAATATCTGCATCCCCTACTGTAGAATGCGGATTTAGGTCAGTAAACCCGTAGCCTGGATCAATGTTTGGTGAAAGAGAACCAAGATCTGCCCCATTGGTGGTAGAGTAACCAAAATGCCCGCCACCATCCTGATTAATACTAGGATCTTCACCATCTCTACCACTGCCAGTAGCACTGCTGCTCATAGGAATAACATTATGCCCATTATTCACGAAGTTTTCTGGTAACTTAGTGCCTGAAGAAAGTGAATGAAGATTTTCAGGTTTGCTGACTTCCCAAATACCATTTCTGTTTTTCTTTATCCCAAGCTTCAAACTCGTATGTTCAGAAACACCTTCCTGTTTAACTAGCTTTAAAGGTTCTGGCTTAGGTTTAGACTCGACTTCCACTGGAACACAGAGAGTACCATTAGGTAAATGCCACTGCCCAAGTTCCCCTAAACTCTTTTGGTCATTATCTGCCTTTGCACGCCAACAACCATCTGGTTTCACCTCAATTTCTGTTAGATCCTCTCCACAATTCCGCATCTTTATCGAAGTTTTGTAAAAGAATAAGAATAGAACCAATCAGCATACTAAAGAACAAAAAAAATCAAAATCGAAAATCCATCCAAGCAATACCTTAGTTGTGATACGAGTAAAATACGGATCGATAATGACATTCTCCAAAGAGTAGTTCTTGAGACAAATGGGGCATTGCCACTGCAGGTAACCCAAGAAATAGAAAATAAATAAATGAGAGGAAGAGGTTACACAGGTGAAAATGCCACAAAAAGTTTCATTGTTGTATAATGCTTGCCTTGCGAGACCGTTGGTTCATTTGCACAAATACTTCAAGATCAAAGCACCCCATATGAGCACAATGTTTAAATCTTCCAGCAATTCTCATTCTTGAACCACTCATCTACAACATACAAGACAAGTCAGTTGCAGGACTGCTTTACAGCAACGTCAAATCATGCAAACATTATAAGCCAGCAATTCACTACAAAATTTATAAATAAGAATACATGATATTCAGCTGCAATTTTGTTGCTGAATTTTAAAAACAAGGCATGCCAGGATGTCAAGCATGTTTTCAGTTAATATTTAGTTCGGCCACTACGGAATACACAAACATAGTGAAATGTGAATCAAGAGATGCTATACAACTTGCTTTCTGCCAGGGAAAATATAACATTAACCATTAATAGAAAATCATGGATATTGAGGGAATAATATGAGAAGCGCTGGATATATCAAATGAGAATTCTTGTAAAGAGTTACTAAGAATCAACAGAAAGGGCACAGATAGCAGATGCTAACCATTAAATACTCCTAATCATCAACTACGTTTGGTAAGCATGAATGACAATCCTGAGTGATGACTAGCTATTAGTAATTAGAACAGCCTAAGGAGGATGTAAAAGTGCTATTGTCTTCTCCACATTTTACAGAACAAAAACCGATTGGACGCATGATCTTTCTATTTGTAGATAATAACTAGAAGCACAATCAATTTCAAGAAAACAAATGTGGTTGAATCGTTTTATTTGACAAAGAAAATTGCGAACACAAAGTAGATTAACCAGCAAGTAAAACGCCCTCAGTCTAGTCATTACGAACATATGTTGGCTGCCCAAAATAAGTCAAATGCCCACCTACTGAAATGGTCAATTTTATAATCGTAGAAGCCGGTAAGAAGTAAAATAAAGCATGTTACTTACAGGACATCGTAGATTAACCGGTATAGAATCAGCCACGACCTCCAAATCACTGTCACTGTCTGCATCTTCTGTAGCAGGCCCACCACCAACACAGCGACAAACACGTGCAACAGCATCTTCAAACCTCTCACCGTCACACTCTTTGGGAATGAGATTGAGAATCTTTTGAGTTTGGCATGCAACAAAAACAATATCAGAATAATCAAGGAAGTCCGAAACTACTTTCCTTAAAGATAGGCGCAGACATGACCCTCATCTTCTGACAAGTAATCCGGATAAAGTTGGACACACAAATAAAAAATATACACCTAATTAGAGATAGAACAAATATATCACTTCTAATCCTGTTACTATGGGAAGGAATGTAGAAATCAGCTTTGTAAATCATAAGCATGTTAAAGCCAAAGAGGTGTATGCTGGCGAATACATTCTTTTCTTTTCATAAATATTAAGATCATTAGCCAGCAGGCAGTAACATCAGACTAAATAAAAAACAGGGTTGGAACAGCAAAAAAAGTTTTATCCCCGCTGCCTGTAATGTAACATGTACAAGGACACTACAGAAATCACTCAAAAAGACAGTTGATCATTACAATAAGAGTACCACCTGTTGAACTGTGCGCCGTTTCACAATTCTGACACCCAAACAGAAAACACGAGCATCACAGCCTGTCAAGGAAATTTTGTTACTTCCTTCACGAGTGCATTGCGTGATCTGAGAACAAAAAAAACATAGAACTAAGAGAACTCCTTGCACAAATATAGATACATCAAGAAGCATTCAACTTATGAGTAGCAGACCCAAAACTATGGCATAACACTAGAACATAGTTCATAGAAAACCATGAGATGCAAAGGCTGAAACTTACAACAGGCCCATCATCACGGCCATTGGCCCCCAGAAGTTGAGAGCCAGGTCGATTGATTGCTCGCACGGGCATACCTGTCAGGTAACAGAGAGAAGACAATAAGCATTGTAAAGAATGGTCTAGTGCAAATGGACGGAGATCAACTTGAGCCCAAAAAACTTTCCAAGTTTCTTTATAACAATTCATCCAGTCAATAGATTCAGATCCGCATACCGTTGATTTGTAAATCTGCATATTGTGGCCATTGCATTCTAAAAGAAACCTTGTCATTCAGGAGCATACACCAGGCCTATATTTGTGATCAATCATTTATCATCAGGCAAGTTATCAAGATTGTCTATTGTAATCTAGGCTATTATTAGAGAAATATGTTGATAAAGCCAACCTGAATTTCAAATTCTGGTTTTCCCAACAAATCCCTGTCTGCTTTTGTAAGCTGAAAAGATTTTTCAACACTCTGCACAGGGCTTGTACTGAAAATTATTTTAAGATGTATGTTAACAGCAGCAAACTAATATAAGCATGCAAGAACACTTGAGCATATACAAGTACAAGAGTCACAACCATAAAACATGAAGTGACACTAGTGTCGAATATTTCTGAAAACACAAAAAAAAAATTATTTCATAACCATATAGAAAAAGACTGTCTGCTAAAACAATTTTCCACCCACAGCTCCTATCAATTATAATTATGATAAACTCAAAAATGTTAAAGGAGGAAAGAACCCTCACAAGAAGAAAATAAGGTTTATAGACTCACCCATCCGTGGGGGCATTTGCAATAGTCAGCTTCACAGGATATAGAGGATGTCCCACGGGTACCCAGAACCTGCATGCTCAAAAACCAAGTTGACAAATGTGTATCAATTGTAATTGTTTATTGAGCAGTTCTGACAATTAAAAAAAGTAAGCAAAAAAGATGAATTGTTTATGCTTGTAATTGTACTCTTAAGCACAGCTCATGCATATTCACCTTCCAACATGATTTTAATAAAGGACCTCATTACCTCATCATGACCTAAATCTGTTCAATTGGGTACAAAAAGAAAAGACAGAAATAAGTTGAAAACCAGATGTTAAAAAATCCCACTTGCAGTGATATGAACAGTGAGTAAGAAAATAATTCGTTTACAGAAAATGGAGGTCTCTGTATCTGTGTCATTAGTATTCAAATTGCCATCAACCAATTAGAAGGAAAAAAAAAATAAGGGGTGTCACATTGTAGAATCAAGGGCTTGCCAGAGATAACCAAATGGACCAAAAAATATCAATTTTGTTTCAAGGTATAGACTATAGTGTCAAAGCATGGTAGAATCCAATGAGTACACTTGATATCAAAAGACAATTAACTCCGATGAAGTTAAAAGTTAAACAAGATGACCAGGGAAAGCATCCAATACTCAATAATCTGATAGAAAACAAGAAAAATCAATAAGCGATGTCAAGGTACCTCAAAGGCATTATCCTACACTAGTAAAGATAGGCCGAGTGTGATTCCCATAATCAAGTACGAAACACCACAAAACGGGTTTATAGTGGTCTTGTTGCATTCCTACACACACTCGTGTTGAATATCAAAATTCTGTGTCTTATCCTGCTCGGGAAAGTTGGTCACCCTTAGTTCTGCAACCCAGGGTCATCACACCCCGGACGTAAATCCTGACACATCTCCATACAAGTTGTCACTCCACATCCGTGAACCCAAATACTGGACACGAAATCTTTTTTTGGCAAAAGGATAATAAATCTATCCGTTGTTTGGAAACCCAATAATTGAGACAAGATGAATTGCAGTCAACACGCTATAAGACCATAAAGAATAATTGTTTTATCATGTTGTACTCAGATCAGTCGTAAAGGGGAATATCAAGTCACTTACGGATCTGCACGACCAAGCCTACAGAGTTCACAATAAAAAGTTGGGGGAGGTGCTGGTAGAATACCCTCCACCGGCTTCTCTGGGATAATTACACAACCAATATGCTGCCACACATTGCATCTATGGTCTTCACACTGAGAAAACATGAAGAGGTGAGTGTTAGATTCACATTTGCAAAGGAAGTGGATCCATCAGCATGATGAAAACCTATTTTAATCCTTTTAATAGCTTTTTGAACATGGTAGACTAAGTGCTAAACCAACAGGCACAGAGAAAAATGAGCAAGGCAGTACATGAAAGGCATAAAACCAAAAAGACAAAAAAGGCTACTATATAGCCTTCAGCATTTGAATGAAATCAAGTTTTATTAAGTACTCCATAGCTGCGTGCATAGAACTACCAATTGTAACAGAGTTGATGCATGGACCATAATTGAACCTAACCCTATTTCAGTCGATTGATGGCACATGGAAAGCTGACCAAGACATCATTAGATCAAAATCAAGTTTTATGTACTCCATAGCAGTGTGCATAGGATTACCAGCCACTGTAACAGAGTTGATGCATGAACCAGAATTGAAACTAACCCTACTACAGGCAATTAATGGCACACTGATAGAAACATAAAGTACATGAACTCTAGTGAATAATTGGACATGGATAATATAGAAGCAAAATGTCTGTTCTAAATCTGCAACCAAGCTTCTTCCTATGATCAAAAGAGATGATGGAAGTCTCTCAAAAAGAACATACCCAGTTATCTGATGGCACATATTGTGTTGGATAAGAAAGGACTTCTAGGGGAACTTGGCACATGATATACAATTTGAAGAATAAATTGAGCTATAATGTAAGTAGAAGTATTTAAATTTGATGTTTGCAAAATGCATACTCGAAAGCAGCGACCATTCTTTAGGGTCCTCGTTGATTGACAAAAAGGCTAAGAATTAGATGCATTGATTGTTGATGAAAAAGAGAGTTCAATTTTATATTTGGAACAAAATCAAGAAATGTATGGAAACCATGATGATTTTGAAATCTTCTCTATTTTCTCCAAATGCAGGTTCGACTGCATCATACAGCTTCACAAATTGGCAGAAGCCCTCATCTCAGGAAGAAGCGAGTACAAAAGAGTGTCTATACAGAATAAGACCATAAGAGAGACAGCAAAAAGAAACCAACCTCCAACCCAACCAAAAAGACAACTCAAAATCACAAGGGATAATATGTAGCAGAAAATCTGCAGAAACTTTTGCTCCAAAAGGAACTTAAAAACAAAAGAAAGCTCAGGTTCTTGTTGCACAAAATAAAGAAAGCTACAGACCTTGAAGTAAAATACTCTAACACAATTTCATGCATCTAATATAAAGTCAAATCTAACTGGCCTAATTATAAGCACACAAGCGTCAAGAACCAAAAAGAACATGGACACTAAAAACAAATGATGGAGAGGGAATGCACTGCTAATACCTTTATCATTGCATCTGCTTGCAAAGAACTACCACAGGGACAGCGAACTTTTTCTATCCGATAAGTGTCTTCAACTTCCTCCTTGAATGTGGTATTAACAGTGATATCTGAAACGCCCTGGCCTTTTGATGCCAAGTCAGATGCCCCGGGGATCTGCATCTTTCTGGGGACAAGGGAATAATGAAGTCAAGATAAAAACGAACAGGCAAAAGAAAGAATGTTGGACACTGCAAGGCAATGGTTTATATGAATTAAGAGTAAAATTACAATAAGGCATGGAGCCAAAGCATGCATAAGTACATCAGCCGTAACACTAACATAGAATTGCAGTAGCAAAGGGGGTATATCACCCCATTAGTATGCCCTATCGCATAAGCATGCAGGGAGAAATAGCGATGAAAGATACACACCTGTAAATGTCATCAACTAGTTTTGCCACCTCTTCCTTCCTAATGGCACTTTTCTTGGCCCACATTCCAGAAACTGCTCGACATGACATGAGAATGCGATGTTCATCAGGTCAAAAATACAAATTAATAGTAATAAAAGATAAAACAAAGCAAGAACACTTGTATTATCAAAACAAAAACATAGACAAGAAGTGATAGGAACAAAGCACGATCTAAAACCATCATATGATTACAGGTGTGCAATGACAGAATAAATTTATTAACCCAATTTTATGATATCACCATGCCAGGTACAGCCATATGGCCAAGACAACAATCCAAAGGTTTCAAAGACTTTGATGCACAAGCAAGAATCGTAACGGACCCTTCTGCAACTCTATTTGAGATAGGCTAAAATTGACCCAAAAATGGATTATAGAGTGGTAAAATCCAATGAAAAACGTAAAGCGGTGAACCCTCCTAAGGTTTCTGGACATATGGATAGCGTCTTATTCAATTTTCACACTAGACTATTTAAAGTCAACTCCTTTGCTATACCTCACTGAGGCACTGACATAGATCTTTTGACAACTTCCCCCTATGTTTTTTCCTGAAACAGACTCCCCCCATCTTAGTCTGACAATGAATGGCGTCTTTTTCAGTTTTGACACCAGTCTGTTTAAAGCCAACTCCTTTGCTATACCCCACTGAGGCACTGACATATATCTATTGACTACTTCCCCCTATGCTTTTTCCTGAAATAGACTCTCCCTCCCATGTTAGTCTAACAAATCTCTACCTCTCCTATTGACCTCATTGTGGTACAAGTCCCCTTTTCTAACCAGGTTGAATTCAAAGTCAAAATCAAACCATCTCGTACAGTGTTGCTCGCTTCACGTGAACAGTTGCATCCCAGCCTCCTCAAGTATATCATCATTTCTAACCCTATCATTCAACATGAGGCCACATATCCATCACAACCTGTGTATTTCTGCTACAGTGAGTGTTGTCCTTGGGTGACCCAAAATTTGCTCTGTGAATAATAGCAACTCTTATCACCATGGCATCCAGTAGGATTACCTTTGAACTCCAATGGAATTTTGTCACATGACACTTGCTAAAGCTTGTCATGATTTCACCCACCCATCTATATCTATGACCAACATATTCACTCCATCAAGCATCATATTGGGAAAAAAATGCAAGTAAAAATCTCATTGTTTGTGAACCAAATCAGAATTTGAAAGCATTTTGCTTCATCAGTAAATGGTGTGTGAAGAAATAATTAATCCCTGGAGAGTCTTGGTGATATAAGGTGATCCTTGTATACAAGCAAGAGAAGACAAAATAGCTGATGGTGAACAACTACGTGCCCTAGCAATGAAAAGACAAGTAAGCCACTAGACTTGTACAAGTTTATGAGACGACATTGGCAAAAAGCACTTGAAGGTGACTTTTTTCAAAATATTCCAAGAGACTGCAAAGCTATTAAACAGGAAGAACCGGAAGAGTTCTACACTTACATGAGGGGAATAGTAATTATAGCATACATAAACTGTGGGAACATACACTTCTAAACTTCAAACCACCTCAACTGAAGGTCCCATCACAATATAAGGTTGAAAAGAATAAGCATTGATGTAAACTAAATTCACCTTAAGCCTCTAAATTAGAGTTGATAAATATTAAAAGCTGATCTCCATGACACCGTGTGTAGCTGACCTCTCATGGCATAGAGACAATGAACGAGAAAGAAATGAAGCAGTGACTACAAGAACACCAACACATGATGGATACTCAAATATTAAAAACAACGAGAAAGTACCATTTACCTCTATCATCTGAGAGAATAGCTAATATCCGGTCAACAAGATCCTACAAGCAATGACAAAAAGATGAATAAAGAACCGCATTCCTTTGTAAGCCAACTGAACACTAAACAAGACAAAAGGATGCAGCTATTTGACACGTATTCTGTAATAAGGTATGAAAATAACAGCTTAAAAAACTAGTTGCAAACGGAAAACAGTGTGAGCTTAAGTTAATGGCATTAGAGATCTCATTTGAGCAACGAAAGAAGCAAATCGGCAATAACGACCATACCAAAACCTCATTCTGACCAACAAGGAGACCAAAGAAGAGCTTGTTGATTGTTTAACATTAACAATTAGCAAACAAGAAACATTAACAATTAGCAAACAAGAAAAGGCAATGCATCATGGCCTGATCAAAAGGTTAAGGTCCTTTAAGCAGCATGTTAATGAAATTACGTAAAAAAGCAAAATTAATTTGTGAAACAATCAAGTGATAACCTTTTTTACCAGAACACGTCAGTCCGTATTTCTAAGGATACAAAGAAATGAAATTAAGTAGCACATCATAAGTAATTGCATACATATCACAGATGGTTTTAAACAGAGATGGAAAAAGCAACAGAAAATCCACGAAATTGAAGAGCAAGTACATGATCACTATGCCTCCCTCCTCCAACCAAATGTTTTTGTTCCTGCTATAAACTATTGGATCTCCGTATAGAATAATTTGGCAAGGACTAGTGATGAGCCTGAACACGTTTAAGACCCAAAACTAAGGACAGCCGCTATCAACTAGACTTGTAGAGGCCAGAAATAAGTTGATTTTCAGATTATCAAAAAATTTATCATGCACAATGTCTATAGTTGTCCTAACGGGAAGCTGATATAAACCATGCAAACATCCAATAGCTATAGTCCTAGTCTAATAATGAGATTTGCATATCTAACGATCATAGCATATAACTCAAATCAGGTAGTCCATAGAGATCTCAGAAGAACTGTGTTGATTATATTGCTAATGCAACAACAAAGCCATAGAAAGAGTAAGCGCTAGTTGAACACTGAACCTGTTTCTTTCCTTGCTTGGAAAGGCCAAGTTGAGTAAGAATATCCTTAAGCTCTTTTATCCGAAAATGTGCCAATTTTTCCTAAAAGACGAAAACAAATTGACATAAACACATTGCAAGCGGAAGCAACTCAAAGCATGAGATTTCAAAGGTAAAACACCAAGGCTTCTCATCTTTGAGAATAACATTGAAACATGTGTATCCCCCCTCCCCATAAAAACATGTTTTAAGGCAGTCAGGGCCATAATAGCAAATCTAATAAGAAGGTGGTCAACAATTCTTGGAATATACCAAGTTACAGTTGAATCGTCAGAGTACAATCTTAATCATTCCCCTTCAATCATCACTAAGACCATTGAAGGCAACTTATTTCCACCTCCACACTATGTAATACGTGTGGGCTATGAAAAGCAAAGCTCAAGTAATATAGCTCCAAGGTTATTCCCCTAATAGCTTCACCAAGAGAGAAGCTCGCTGACTAGACTTTGCACCAAAAGGAAGAGTCATGTCATCCAACCTACCAAGGCACCTAACATACATCTGGAGAAACTATAAACTGTTAAGCTACAGCTACTAAACCATGATCTCAAACTCCAGCCAACAAAAAAAAATGACCAACCAAATAATCCAACAATTAGCATGAACATGCAAGTGGTTATGATTTTCTATAGAACGGTTAGCATGCTGGTAAAGCAGAGCCACAGGGACAAATGAATGGCATAAGCTGCTAGAGCAATACAGGACTTAAGTTTAACCTATCAAGGCCCATCACTGGCAGTTCCACTGAACATGTACCTTTCATACTCCAATGAGCAGTTATGCAAGTTAAAAAACTTCAAACAACCAAACATCCAAAGCATTCGTTAAATGGAAATTGCAGACTCAAATACTTTCAAGGTCATTCCTAGTTCGCTAAAACTAAACACATAAATAGCAAATGTTAAGGACAATATCTAGACGATTCCTTATTATGTTATGCTTTCAAACAGTTCTTTTACCTGCTTTGGTAGTAAGCTCATGAAAGCAGCAACAATAAGAGCAGAAAACAATCATATCAAATGTTAACCTCGATTCAGAGGTAGGAAATTGATGAGGCATGCTTGCTACCTATGTTCCAAGGATACGGGTACATGATACATGTATATCAGGATTCAAATATTCTAATTTCTACAAAGTTGAGGATACGGCCTGGGGATGTGTTTACATATCTATATACAAGTCTAAATCAAATCAACAAAAAAAGAAGTTGTTTCATGTTTCATACGTTAAATGTGCAAGATGAATACCATTAAATCCTTACCGTTGTTTCTAACTTTACATATTGCAAATTTTCATCTTGTTTCCTGGTAAAAGAAGAATCAGAAATTTCTATTGTGCATCCCCATCCTCATATCCCCGTTAATTTGTGATCAATAATTCGGGATACGGCCAAGGCTACATGGGGTGGGGACCCCACTATATGCGCACTCCCAAAGCACCCACGACAAGTGTTTTACAAGGGAAGAAGCAGTCCTGCTTTCTGGCTTGGACCCCCAGGATCAAGAGAAGTCAAACAGGCAATCCATGTATGATCCATAAAGCAATATCTGTCCTATAAAATATGTCTGAACTTATGTTTGTTGACCCACTACCATCACAGCCAAGATAGCACAGAATCACAAAGTCTGATATTCAATTAACCAAAGCTAGCTACTAGCTAGTCCCACATCTGCAACCTGGGGATCAACTAACATTTTCATCCAAAACCACAAATACATTACAAATTACGATAGCAACAAAACCTGTCACAGTTCTCCTGCATGCCATAACCCTAGAGCCATATTCCATATATTCATAATCATAGTCCAAAATTTCCAAATAAGTAAAATGGTTCACAGCTCAAAATCTCATAACTACTTAATTTCTCTATTTACAAAGTAGACGATAATCGTAAAACAAAACAAAGAGAAAAGGAGGGACTAGGTAGTATCAAGCACAGAAAAACACCCATTGGCAGTGAAAGCCCCAAAAACAATAAATAACGCGTCGAGAAGGAACAAAAGTAAATAATACCTTGCAACTCGTTACCAAATCCATCTTTATCTGAATGAATAGATTGCCCCTCGCCCCCGGAGACAAATTAATCAGCAGCAACCAAGCCAAACAAAACAGCTCATGTGCTTCCCAAAAATTAACGATCGATCTAATAACACAATGTTTAAACAAAACACAATTAACCAAATTTTCAACATATTAACAAACAAACAATTCTAAAACAACAAGATCAAGAAATGTTCCTTTCCGCACCTGCAATCCAGCAGAATGAATCAAATTAGGGCGTGATTGGGAACAATGATTGAAGTCGTCGGAGTTTTTGAAGTATGGTGTGAACTCGGAGCCTTATGCCGCCGACTTCAGTTTTGTCTGAAATCGATTCCCTGAATTGGGAAATCGATAATCCTAGTGGAATTACAAAGTTGAACGGACGTGTAGGGTGTTATGCAATCCAGTTAAGTTCATGCAACCAAATCCGGGTTTGGATTCTCTGCTCCTTGCGTGTATTTTAATATTCCTGGGTCCTCTTTCGTGTTCTTGTACTTTACTGTACAATTCATCTCTTTCATTGAAATAGGGGTTATTATTTGCATCCAGAGTGACACGTCTACGCCTTGGGATTGGAACATCTGTACATACCACTTTATTCAAAATCAAAACTTAAAATCTATTTTTAAACAAAATAGTGAATAAATTTTTATTTTAAAAAATCGTCGAAAATATTTGTAGTAATTAAAACTTAAAGTTTCCAAAAATATTAATTTTATTATTTTAAAGAATACAATATTAATTATATCTTAAAATATTTAATATAATTAATAAAATGTTATTTTTTGTCTCTTAAACACTTAATTTTAATACTTTTAATTTGTAGGAAGAATAAAAAATTATTTTTCTTCTTAAAAGCATCTCCAACAGTTATGTTAAAATAAATAAAAAAGATATTTTATCCTTTTTTTTGTTCCAACAGTTATGTCATGTTGTATGTTAAAATAAAGAAAAGAGAAATAGATTTTAAAAATCTCTAAATTTAGAAAAATCTATATATTTCTCTATATAGAACGAGAAATTATTATATTAATATTTTTCCATCAATAAGAGAGGTATTTATAATAAAGTTTATGAGAGATAAATAGTATTTTATTAAATGTATTAAATATTTTAATAATATAATTAATATTAGAATTATTAAAATAGAGTACCTATTTGAGTTAAATATAATTCTTTTTAAAAAAGATAGCGTAGTTGTTAGAGATGCTCCAATTAATCATTCTTTTGGGCGTTCTCCACATTTGGAGAATTTCAACATCTCTTTTCTACTCCATTTGAGTAAAAATGTCAATTGTGGAGAATATATTGGAAATGATATCATGAAATGAGCATGACAAGAAACAATATTTTTATCTGGTAAGTGAAATATTGGACTTTTATTCAATTATTACTTATACAATCTATTTTAATGGTCGAAAAAGTTATCCAATAAAGCAAGTGAAGATGGTGACTCTTGTCGATAAAATGTTTACCCGATAAATCTATACTATCTTAAAAAACATTTGACTAAAACTCTTAAACTCGTTCATCCCTAAACGATTTCATCTTTATCCGATTTCATCACATATTTGAATTCGTTTAACTAACTGCAGATAAACACAATCAAATACAGATTAAACATCTCATTTTAAATATAAAAATTCTAAAATATAATTAGTATAATCATTAAATTTTAACAGAATACTTAATTATTATCTTTATAAAATTTATAATATTAAACCAAAAATAAATTATTTTATTATTAAACTTAAATTAAATTATATATAAAAAAATATATTCTATATTATAAATCATTTGACAAAAACTCTTAAAAACCATTTTTTATGCGTAAAGTACTGTTTATTAATGCATATTACTTAAAACTCAATATTACAATTAAATTGTGCGTATGTACAACTTATTAAAACTCCATATCTGAATTCGTGTAACTAACTGCAATAAACACAATCAAATACAGGATAAACATCTCATTTTAAATATAAAAAATCTAAAATATAATTAGGATAATCATTGAGTTCTAACAAAATACTTAATTATTATCTTTATAAAATGTTATATTATTAAACCAAAAATATTATTTCATTATTAAACTTAAATTAAATTTAA